TATCACTCCTATCTGCTCTCGCTCCAAATCTTCTGTAACCCCTTGCGTACTAATGGTTTCCTGCTTGCTTGGGGTAAATCGATTAAAAAAAAAAAAAAAAAAAAAAAAAAATATCTATATTTGTTAGGCGATTCAGAAAGTAATGTCACATTCCCAAGAAATAATCATTATTGTAAAGCTCTCTATAAAACTAATTTTGTATTCCTTTCTGAAATATTCTATATTAATGCCCAATGCTAGTTCTCTACATGCAGCATGTGAAAACACATGCAATATCCTGCACTCGTCAGCCACCAACCAAGGGAGGTAATACAGTTATGGTGGCTAAGGTGGTACTGTCACCCCTGGTGCCACGAGCAGCTTTTGCCACCAGAGTATTTTTTTTGGTTACATGTCAATCTCTTGTGATTTCTATAGTTTCCTTTCTATATCTGCTATCAACGCTGTAACATTAGCATTTCTTATGTTGTGAAGACTGTGGTCATCAATAATGAATCCTGGTAGGACTTCTAATTCTCTTGGAATCATCTCACCTTGGGAAATTATGATGCTTCTGTGACATTGAAACACATATGGTACACACACACACACAAAGTAATTGAGAGAAATTATGTTCCAATGTTGACTTCCATACTCTGCTCAAAATTTGATTATGCCAGAAATAAACCTCCCTACTTTGATGAACTCCATGCTCAGCTATAAAGATTTTTTTTATTTTGTTGTTTCCTTGATTCAAGTTTGAAGATCATATTGTAAAAGACATTTTCAACTGCTTTGCAGACATTCACCTGGGACGCCTGGATAATGCAAGATAGATTGAAAATCCCTAATTTTGTTTTCTGTTTCTTCTGCTGTCTTTTATTATGTTACTGTCATATACCTTGTTCTTCTTGACACACCATGAGGTTTGTTATCAGCTTAGCAGGGTTTTAAGCTGATAATGCACCCAATTCTAAATAAACATAGTTTCCTGTAGTTTGGTTTTGAAGCTTACATAGTGAATATTTTTTCATATAACTTCAAAGTATGTCCTCTTTCACTTGAGCATGCATTGAAACAAACATTTTTAACCACTGTTGGCTTGGAAAATAAAGATTAAAATGTTCATGTTAACCTAAAACAGATAGCTCTGTAAAAAGCATGGTTCCACCTCCCTTTGTTGCCACTATCTCTACAAAAATAGGTCTCATTTGTGGCATGCCAGGATATCTGATAGGGAATGCTGATGAGTAAGCACTTGGCTAAATCACTCTCCCATAGATACCTCACAATTCAGGTACTAATAAATAGCTGTAACAACCAATGTCAATTTTGACATCAGTATCAGCTTAGTTTTCCAAGTTCTGAAAGTGTTTCTACTACCTCATAGTGACTGTCTGTGTTTCTGAGATGAGGTATTATGTACACTATTCACATTATTCAGACTATTGTCCTCATCTTTGTCAGCATATTTATTACGTTTTGGCCATTGTACGCTTCAACCTTCTTCAGGTGGTTGGAACGTCAAACTGAACCCTTTATTTTACTCACTGGGGTAGACTGTTCTAGTTCTACGTGCCATGTTTAATGAATGTCAGTTATCAGTTATCTCCTGTTAATTCTCCTCTCCAAGTTCTCCACTGCCTTAACCAGGTATTGAACTCACACTCCCTGGGTCCTGTCACTGGATCTAACTAACATCTCAAGGACTCATGGCACAGAACAATTTTATTTCAGTTTTTCTTTCTCTTCCATTCCATTCGTTAATTTAAATTAATTTATACGCTTTTTAAATTTTCTACTCTCAGAAAAATAAACTTGATAAGTCCTGGGATGAAACCGGTTGTTTTTTATTTTATTAGCTTTTTCTTTTAAAACTGCCTTATAAATTTTGTCTTTTCCTATCTATTATTAAATTCTGTACCACAAAAAATATATTATATATATATATATATATAGCCCACACAAAGAAGAGTAACATATGATCTGATGATCACCTGAGGTATGAAACTGACAGTGTTCTATCACCACGCTACTTCTCTCTCTCCTTATCCTCAGGAACGTCACTGGAAAGCACATAAGTTCATTTAATATAATTTATATTTTCAATCAAATAAATATTTAATTTTCAGCAGTGAAATAAGTAATATTACCAACTAATTTTTAATTCTATCATTGTATTTAAGGATAAAATAATTAATATTTTAATAAACTAAATGTTATCAGTAGAAATCTTGTTTAAATTTAAAAACTAATATTTTAAGAAACTTTAAATAAGATTTTGTGCATTCAACTTACATGTTTTATTTTATATGCAAAACAGAAGTGGATAAATTGAGTTATATTATTTCATTAATATGAATCAAATAAGATGTACAAAGATGACTACTTATAATCAAATTTGACACGTTAATTTTGAGGATGTTAAGATTAAATTACAGATATATTTATCTAATATAATAATGAAATTATCTTAAAGATTTTTCCATTACTAGAGAAATCAAAAATTTTAAATAAAAACTATTTAAGAAAACAAAAACAGTGAATCGTGTTAGGAAACGGAAGTTTTCAAGGTAAATTTAAATGTTAAGGGAAAAAATGTTGCACAAAAATATTTGACTTTAAGGCAACTGCAAAACTTGGTTTTGTAGCCGGGGAAAAAAAAAAATGCTCATTTTTGTGTGCGATAATAATAGATGAGAAATATTATTTGCTCTAAAAGAAAAAAAAAGGAAAAAGTTCAAGACCTGGAATTTTCTTTCTATTTTTTTTTTCTTTGTTCTGATTGAAAACAAATTATGCCCAGCACAGTTTTAAGAATTTTTCTTCATTTCAAATCCGTTTGATTCCCTCAGAAGTTCATTTTAGATTAAGGATGTGTTCTTTTGATTTTTAGCTTTTTGATGTAAAAAAAAAAAAAAAATAATAAACAGCCGAAAACATCTCTAAATTCCAAATGTAGAATTTAGATCTGAAATGGTTTAACTTTTTTTCGAGTTACGGTATAAGCTATTCTTAATTAAGAAAAAAAAATAAAAAAATTGAAATTTCACTGTCACAGAATTAGCGTGAATGTAAATATCAGAGAATGAAAAATCTTTTCTGTGGAATTTTAAAAATAAGCTCAAACATTTTTCTTTGTATCATTTTGAAAGAGTTCATGTTCATTCTAAACTTTGGTCAGCTTAGAAATATTCTTAGAGTAGCAATTTGTATTTTAGAAATGCCAAAATCTGCTTTTACTGTGTCTGTATGTGCATATCTAATGTGTATGTGTGCATGTCTGATAGATTCATGAGGGTTGAATCCAGATACTTCCTTCTCTTAAATTGGTTGCCACCCAAAACAAAAGAACCCAGTCTATTCTCTGCCATTTAACACATAGTTTGAAGAGGATTGTTTTGGGTTCTTTTCCCAGAGCTTTAGCAGGAAGTGAAGGAAACCAAATTGACTGGAATTTGAACTTGGATGAGTGATTTAACTCTCTGGACTTTTGACCATTACACAATCTGTGCACATGTCTGTGTGTTGATATGTATTTTATATAATTAAACAAAAATGATTTATAGTTGGGAATAAAAAAAACAAAAAAAACACTTCATATGCATTACCTTGATGCGATTTTATTCAATTATATATAGTGAAATGAAAATTACTAATCCCTTTCCTTAAAAAAAAAAATAAACAAAAAAATATATGAAAAACAATTCTTCTTTTTCCATGTGCAATGTCTGTTCAGGACATTGGCATTCATGGCTCTCCATAATTTCCTTTCCTTTGTAGCTCTTAATAACTTTTGTCTTTTTACCATCCCTCCCAAACTCTGCTCCACCAATCCATTTGCTCAAGCTTGCCAGGTATGTTGTGCATTGCTTTCCTCTGGCCCTCTTATCATCAGTTTGTCTTGTGAGTATTAAATTTTCCAAGCCCTCTTTCCTCATTATGTGCCCTATAAATTTTAACTCTTTTTTTGTTGCTATTGTCTCTAGAACTCTTTTGGAGAGTTGAATTAAAGGGAGATAACTGAAACATCCAGGAGAGTCATGTTATGTGGAACTAGAACAATCTACCCCAGTGCTCAAAATGAAGCGTTCAGTTCAAAATCCTAATCACCTGAAGAAGACCAAAGTGTATAACTGTCAAAACATTGTGAATATGAGGATAATAGTCCAAACAATTTGAATAGTGTAAATAATTACAATAGCTCAACTCAGAAATATAGACAGATAAAACATTGGTGTAAAACAAGGGCATAAGGAAACTTAGTATCAAATTCTTATTACTCCCACCATTATTATAGTTGATACTCATATTTGAAATAGATGCCCCACTTTTATTTTAAACATTGACCGGACATTCACACACAGTTTATAACAAAAGAAATAAAATCTGGGACATCTAAGAGAAATACCAGTATTCATTATTGTTATGGGATCTTATCTATAATAATAATAATGGACTATTCCATACTTAATAAATACTGCACCATTCCATACTTAATAAATACTGCGCCTCAGGAGTAGGCAGAGGCTAAGTAGTTCAAGTCGAATCAAGAGTAAAGTCAGAGGCAGTCCGAAACAGAGTCTCGTTCAGACAATTACTACAAGACATTGGAATAGTGATACTGGCCGAGACTACATTGTTCTCTCTACTAAACGTGATTGTTTATACTAACACTTCTACTTCTCTTTATATATTCCTGTTTGTAATATATCTGTGTTATTCCATACCCGTGTTTGAGTTCTTCTTTATTGGTTCTACCTTGGACTATCACCGTGATACAAGGAACCGAACTATAACAATTATAATAATGTCTGAAGTAATAAACACGTTGGACTAAAAATAAATTCATTAATTACTTAGAAATTGTATCAAATTCTGTAAAAATTGAATTTCTCTTTAATATGACGTCTACCCCAGTGACTTTGCATTCAACTTCGATCCCCTCAGATGATCATAGAGTTGATCACTTAGGCCCAAGTCTGCTTTTAAAAGTTAATCCTTATCAATTGACTGAACTCATGGCCAGAGGTTTGTCTTTCTCTCTGTCACTCAATGGCCATAAAAATATTATCTATTTCTTTCAGGGAGTACCATTAATTAGGCCATACTTTAATCCCAATTCTAATCCAAACCAAATGGTCTCCTTGTTTTACCTCTCCAGTGGATGAGAAATTTAATTAACTTCTAGTTTTTGTTTTTTTTTCAATAAAAAAACAAATATCCTTTTCTTTCATTTTCCCTCATCTGGTCATCAGTATGTCTTCAGTCTATCGGAAACTAGTGTTTTCAATTTACTAGCGCCTTTCCAATAGTGTCACAAAACATTCTCGCCTATTGAAATATATCATATACTAGCAGTAGAGCCCGGCGTTGCCCAGGGATGTAACAGTAAGAGATAGATCAAGTATTGACCATCATAAAGACTGAAAAATAAAATCGACAAAGATTATTGTTTAAGGTTGACGGACACGCATGTCTTAATTAGTTTTTTTTTTTTTTTTTTTTATGAATTGGTCAAACCCAAACCCAAACTCAAACTAAAATTGTTTTCAATCATTATGAGTCTCCCGATTGAATAGAATTTTATTATAAACAATTGTCTTGTAAATGGATTTTTAAAGCATTCTGAATGTAAAAATAAAAAAAAAGTGTGCAAGACAATACTACACACTACCTGCCAAAAAAAAAGTGAAGTTTCGTTGAAATCGGTTGAAAAATGTAGGAAATCCGATCCCATATATAAATGAACACACACACACACACACACACACACACACACAACCTGGGTTTTATAATAACTCGATATGAGTTGTCCCCCTTTCATTAATGCCTCTTAATCGTGTTTTCAAATTGATTTCATGCAAAAACAATTGTGTTTTTCCAATTTTGGGTGCTGTCAGAACCACCGCAAGGTAATTTTACGTAGTCCTGTGAAGTTTTGTTGAATTCGGTTGAAAAATGTGGGAAATCCAATCCAATATATAAATGAACAGACACACACAACCTGGGTTTTATAATAAGTATGATCATATTTATAATTTTTATTTTATTTTAAAAAAAAAAAATAAGGTAGTTGATGGGAGCAAGACGAAAGGGGAAATTATTAGTGTAAGATCAACAACCATTTGGTTGTCAGCAAAATGGGCACCACAAGGTGTGAGTTGCACACTGGGGATGCCAAAATTAAATAAGTTTAAAAAAAATTCTTCTATAACAGGACAGAAAGTGTGACAGAAATCCAAAGTACGTTGTGGGCAAAGCTATTAAGGAATAGGAAAATATCATTTTCAAACAAGTGCTTGATAACGATGTAATATTTGCTCTCCTATGTCAGTGACTAATGGAGAGTTTCATCATCAAGAAATGAAAAAATACTTCAAGCATTCAAGATGTTTCTATCTCCCAATGTTAAGAATGTGATGGGAAAAGAGAATGTGATAAATAGAATTTTAAAGTAAAAAAGTCTTATAAAGAAACTGCTAACAAATTTACCAGATATACAAAGAGGAAAGAAGGCTTAGAGAATTTAATATTCCCAAGGTGCATCAAAACAAGGAAGCAGAAGAAAGCAAATTTGTGGAAATGGATGAAGGAGCAAGTACCACAAAGGGAAAGTCATAAAAGAACAGTACGAGGAGCAATAAAATAGAGGAATCATTGGAGAGTAATGATTATCCATCAGGCTTCACACACACACAAACACACACACATTCAAACATATTGTTAAATATAACAGACAACAAATATCTATTATGTTTGATCATGAGCCATTCTAAACTTTGTATAGTTGTTTTAATTTTGGTAGAAAATAAAGCAGAAAATTTCCAACATTTGGATATGTTTTATTAAGCTGTTCCTTCATCTAAGCTTTTGACTAACATGAGCCATCTTTAGAGTGGTCACATGGACATTTAAACAAAGCTAGCAAATGCAGGTTGTAAATTCATGATGTGATCTATTTCACAACCATTATCATTATATAGCAATCTTCTAACAGAATATCATCTTTGATGGAGAATATCTTTGTTTAAATGTCTGCATAACCACTCTGAAGATGGTTCATATGAGCTGAATGCTTAGATCAAAGAACAGCATAATAATAAAAATAAAATATCCAAATGTTTGACAATTTTTGTCTTTAATTTCTCCTGAAATGAAAGCAACTTTACAAAGCTTAGAATGGCTCATGATCAAACATAAGACATTTGTTGTTTATTATATTTAACAATATATTTTTGAAAATATATAATGTGTGTGTGAGTGAGAGATTACTGCCACTTGAGATAGATAAGTCTTCTACTTTGCCAAGAGGAAGAAGCTTCATTTGACTGATGTTTTTTCTGCATGTCATCATTCATTTTGTCAACATGGACTTGATGAACAGTAGAACTCTCAATAAGGCTCCATGCTTTGAATGCCTATTGTGTCTTCACTTCAAACCTCAAGTGGAACTTGTATATAAAATCTGCTACTTCAGATGCTAAAAAAATGATTGGCTTATTGCATTGCTCCAAGAAATACCTGACTCTTTCAGCCCTGCTTTTTTTTTTTATGCAAGTCAGCTTCGGCCAAAAGTAGCGTATTGCTTCCACACATGCTGCCATAAGCTGGAGATCCTCAGTCCTCACATTCCATCCTCAGCAGAGTTCAGAATTATTTCTGCTGCCTTGTGTAGGAAGACTTTTCTATTTTACAGCCGTCTTCCCATCAACACACCATCATCTCTATCGCTATTTCTATGACACTACTATACACCATGGAGTTGAAGCACCCTCATTTCATCAGTGTTCTAAATGTAAAACAAAATTTCACTCAATTCGTCCCCAAGAACTGCCACTTTGTTGAACAGACTCTGATGAGTGCTGAGCTGAACGCTACAATCTTTTGACCTCTTCAAGTCAAAGAATAATCATTATCTATATCTTCACTCCCTGCCATCTCCTTCACATCCTGAATGATCAATACACTCTCCATCATTACCATTAAAACAGTAAATCTTTATCTTGAATGTGTCTCAATCCTTGTTTTGGATGAATCTTAGGATAAAAAAAAAACCTGGACATTAGTTGAATCCTTTTCTAAAGACCAACTGAACAAAATCCAAAATTTTGTTGATTAAAATATAAATCTTCAACTTTTCCAAACAATGCATCTTTCTGCTAACTTCTGGAAATTTATTCAGTGAAAATTCTCAGTCATAATGCACAAAACAAGATATTACATAAGTTCTTTTTTTTTAAACATATTTTTTATCCTGGTTTTGATTACCTTGTTATCTTTGGGGTTTTTTTTTTCATTTTTTTTTTTTTTTTAATAAGATTAATGTCCTAAATTTTTGTTGTTGCCTCCAGCCTTTCTGAGGTGTATAATTTGTTGGGGAATTTATGTTTGGGGTTTGTTTTTTGGGTTTTTTCATCTGCCAGATTCTAGATCCAGCTACAAAGATTACTGCAGACAGCAATAAATCAATAAATCAATCTGATAAAAATCCCGCTCCAAGCCCAGAATGATCAATACACACTCCAATTTCTAGGTTCATGTGAAAGAGTATTGATACCGTTTTGTGATATGGAAGGACAACCTGGTCATAATTGCTGGCCGTGGGCAACCACATTTCATTGAATGTGCTTGTGCAGCCTTTTGTTAGTGAAAACAAAACATCTATGCAGTGCTTCCATAGTTAAAAATAATGTATATTTTGAAACTGGTTTGTAGACTTTCTTTCATTTTTTTTTTTTTTTTTTTTTGTAATCATTTAACCCCAAGCAAGGCAATAAAACTTAAGATGCAAGGAGTTGCTGAGTATGAAAGAATCTGAGAAAAAAACATTAAGGAGAGAGGATAATAAAAGAACAGGAATTAAGGAGACAGATGTTTACGATTGACACTGTATTAAAAGTTTTGAAGATCAAAGTTAACTGGAAATCAAGTAATGACACAAACAAGGAGACAGAAGAAATTTGCACAAGTCAAAAAATTCATGAATGCCAAAAATAAATATGATTTCAAAATTTCAAATATTATTATGGACTACTTGTAATTGCATGCATGAGTTGCAGTATAAATAATTATTGACTGATTTTATCATTGTGATATTTTTGCATTTTATTAAGTATTAAGAATATAGTAATTAGGGTCTGCAAATTGGAGCAGAGAGTTATCAGTGTTAATATTCTGACAGTGAATCAGCAGTTATCTCCCTTTAATCCTCTTCCTGTTCTTCATTTTTAAATGTACTTTTAATCACATAAAATTTGGTGATGCACAAACCAATTTTAATTCTGAAAATGTGGCCCAGAGAAAAATATTTGGGAACCACTGGTCTAAATGTAATAATAATAATAATAATAATAATAATAATGTATCAGCCTTATGGAATAATGATAATGTCAAATCTTGCAATATCACACAAGATGAAAAAAAGATTTATCTATAAAGTTAATGAACTGAGATTTACTCATCTCTCCATCACTGTATTTAAAGATTGTGTAGCTTCAGCTTAGAATTGTTTCTGAATAATGTGTTGATATTTAATGATTGATTTACTGTTAGATGGCAGAGTCAGAAGCTTTTCAATATATTTTTTATCAGAATATAAAGAATTAATGCAGTGTTTGAACAATTTGCTCTCTGATTTGGAAAAAAAAAATTCACTTATGTAATTACATTTACTTGATTTGATATTTTAAAACATTAATCAAAAATGATTTTATTTATAAGATATTACATGTTAACTTAGTTTTCAAACTCGGCCAATGTAAAAAGTAGTTTAAGAAAAATAGTGAAAATATACAAATCGAAAAGAAATATGTAAAAAAAAAAGTTAAATTTGTAGAAACATTTTGATTGCATATAATTTGACAAAGATGATATCACACTCATTTGTCTTGTTTTTATCTTTATTATTATTGTTATTTTTACATGGTTTCCCTTTTCAACTGAAAATCTTGCATTATGGATGTTCTCCAAGTCATATATCCTTAGCGAGTACCATTCACAGAATAAATATTACCAATTCCAAACAATGAAGGATTTTAAATGCAGTGGTATAGACTCCAGTGCTTCAGTGGTAACTGGTATTGTAGTG